AAAGTTTCTTCTTCTAAGGTAATACGTTTCAATTTTTTTTTAATGATAAGAGCAATCATTTGTCACATATAGGGTCAGGGGCAGACTGACAACTCATGAGGCTCCTGGGCAATAGAAGATCATGGGCCCCGCTTGTACCCACCAACTTGCAAGCTACACAAATATACATCGTGCCCACTTACATGAACCGTCCACATGTTCATTCTTCTGTTACAAATAACATGGGGGAATAGGAGCTGTAGTGGGGTTATAAGGGTTGTAATTGGGATAAAGACAGTAGTGTGGGGGGTTGGGTGGTTATGGGCTGTAGTGGGGGGATCAGGACACTTATGGGGAACAGGAGCTGTAGTGAGGTGTTAGGGGCTGTAGTGGTGATATAGGGGGTATAGTGGGGGAAGAAAGACTGTAGTGGGTGTAGGGGATGTAACTGGGGGATAGAGACTGTAGTGTGGGCGTTTGGTGCTTCCAGGGAGATAGGGGCTGTAGTAGACGGATAAGATTGTAAGAACACATTTCAGGTCCTCAGCCCCCATTTCCTACAACTAAAATGTTATTTTATTTACCTTTTTTCCAGAGCTACACCAATCTCGTCGCCGTTGGCTCCACCTCCATGTCTGAGATCATAAATTTAACCATCTCAGCCAATCCACTGCTTTACATAAGAAAGCATTGGGAGGCTATTGCACATACGCAGCAAAATGATGTGCTGCATCAGTAAGCATCTCCTCATAGAGATTGTAACGGACCGTTTTGCACACAAGGGGTAAAAACCGTTTAGGCGATCGGCCCCCTTTCCAGAGATGCAGGCACAGCTACTGCAGAACACCAAAACTCACGAACTGGATACAAAATAGCACTCCAACTCCCGAACTGGAACCTCCCAAATAGCTGCTAGCAGACGAACAGGAAAAGCAGACAACAGCTTACACTCCTGGCAATCAGTCTCTAACAGCATACAGTGAATCCCCCCAAGAACGAGACAAGGCTCCGTGTTGAGGGTCAAGCAGTGGTCTGAGGTGCTGGCACACCCAGCCTGGTTTTTATTACAGTGTTTCAAATACAGGACCACCCACAGGGAGGGATAAAACAACCAATCATATCACAGTTACATCCCACATATTCCCTCCCCTTATCCTGAGAGGAAACTCAATTATACAAACAGTTAAAACATACTTTCTACCCAACTTTCATAACTCCAAAACCATACATCACATTCACATAAAATTACATATTCTCAATCAATCCATTCAGGGGAACAACATATTCAAAAATGGCACAAATCAGACAAGGGGTTCAAAAGTTAGTAAAAAGTCCTTTGTGACTAAATGAAGCATGGCTTTCTGGCCCAAACCAGTTTCAGAGTCTTCTATCCTGGAGATAAGTAATTCAATTATCTCCCAGGACAGACACAAGACTCCATTAAGCACATGGTTGCAAAGAGACACAAAACACTTTAAAATACATAAAGTCACATTTATACATAAAACACAGACATTTCACATATCCCCAGATAGCTCAGGTCTGAGCGCACATTATTAAGTGAATGGCGCTCGGACCACACAAATACAGTTTAATCACCATGGAGCCAAAGTCTTTACAGTCAGTTTCATACGAATGGGCTCCATGGGATTCCCATCTGGGGTATAACACATTCAAACAAATCTACTGAAACTCCAGGCAGAAAAGCACGACTGAAGCTTTTCTGCAGGTAAAAAAGATGTCTTTTAACAGGGGGCCATAGTCCAAAGGCAGCAGGCGAGCAACCAGGCTTCTCCAATGCAATGTGGCGAGATTGGTCTCGTCACATCTCTCCCCTTTTCCAAACAGACTAACAGGGTATCTGACCTCCTGCCGGTCAGTGCCCTTGTTAGTCCAGCAGCCCACCCACAAAACATAATCAACAGCACAGCCCACCCACAATAAATGGTTACTACACCTGGGTAAAGGAGAAGCTTGTCCATGTCCAGGTGCCTCACCACAGCTGTGCTGGGTACGGGTACGCTGACTGGGTGGGTTGCTGCGTGGGCAGAGACCAGCGGCACTCTGCCCTGTTGCCAGCGCTACTGGGAGGGTAGCCTGGTTGAAGCCTGGTTGTTGGAGGGGGAGACCGACTGTCTCCCCTTTAACTACACCGCTCTGCTGCTGGAGACCGACTGTCTCCCCTTTTGTTGCACAGCTCTGCTGCCGGAGGGGGAGACCGACTGTCTCCCCTTTGGATACTCTAAGCTGTCGCTGGGGAGAGGGGGTAACAGGCTCCTCTCCCGATAGAACACTCTGCCGCTGGGGAAAGGAGACTGAGCTCTCTATTCCCTGCCCATTAATGATCCGCGCTGGGGAGAGGTGGTAGCAAGCTCCTCTCCCATACATACTTTCATCCTCTGTGGAGGGAGACCGACTGTCTCCACTCCCAATACAGTGTCCTGCTGCTGGGGAAAGGAGACTGGGCTCTCTATTCCTGGTAGGACACTCTGCCGCTGGGGAATGGAGACTGGGCTCCCAATTCCCTGCTGTATCTCCCTCTGGGGAATGGAGACTGGGCTCCCAATTCCCGGCACATCACACTGCCGCTGGGGAATGGAGACTGGGCTCCCAATTCCCAAAAAATCACGCTGCCGCTGGGGAGGGAGGACACTGCTCTCCTCTCCCTGGACTTCACACTGCCTTCCCGGCATATCACTTGGCTGCTGGGGGGCAGGAACAACTACCTCTGCCCCCTGTAACTCAGCCTGTCGCTGGGGAGGGAGGACACTGCTCTCCTCTCCCTGCACTTCACACTGCCTTCCCGGCATATCACTCTGCTGCTGGAGGGCAGGAACAACTACCTCTGCCCCCTGTAACTCAGCCAGCCGCTGGTGAGGGAGGATGCTGCTCTCCTCTCCCTGCACTTCACACTGCCTTCCCGGCATATCACTCTGCTGCTGGGGGGCAGGAACAACTACCTCTGCCCCCTGTAACTCAGCCTGCCGCTGGGGAGGGAGGACACTGCTCTCCTCTCCCTGCACTTTACACTGCCGCTGGGAAATGGAGACTGGGCTCCCAATTCCCGGCATATCACACTGCCGCTGGGGAGAGGAGACTGGGCTCTCTCTGTCCCGCAACTGTAGCTGCCGGTGGAGGTCCACCCACCGTGGCAGCTGACCGTCACCCTCTGCCCGGTACAGCAGAGTCTTGAATACTAGACTCCTCACGAACTTCATGGATTTCTCAGCTGGATTAGGTCCGAAGAAGTTCAGCCGCAACCACATCATACGGTCAAATTCCTGTACAGAGTATCTGTACTCCACTGCTGGTTCCATTCTGTTGCTGTCAGGGTCGCTGTACTGAGACATGCATTGCCCTCAAATTGTAAAATCCACGGAATGGTGTCTCCTGTAGCTGTCCTTCTGGTTGTAGGAACGATCCCGCCGCTTGCCACCAATTGTAACGGACCATTTTGCACACAAGGGGTAAAAACCGTTTAGGCGATCGGCCCCCTTTCCAGAGATACAGGCACAGCTACTGCAGAACACCAAACTCCCGAACTGGATACAAAAAATAGCACTCCAACTCCCAAACTGGAACCTCCCAAATAGCTGCTAGCAGACGAACAGGAAAAGCAGACAATCAGCTTACACTCCTGGCAATCAGTCTCTAACAGCATACAGTGAATCCCCCCAAGAACGAGACAAGGCTCCGTGTTGAGGGTCAAGCAGTGGTCTGAGGTGCTGGCACACCCAGCCTGGTTTTTATTACAGTGTTTCAAATACAGGACCACCCACAGGGAGGGATAAAACAACCAATCATATCACAGTTACATCCCACATATTCCCTCCCCTTATCCTGAGAGGAAACTCAATTATACAAACAGTTAAAACATACTTTCTACCCAACTTTCATAACTCCAAAACCATACATCACATTCACATAAAATTACATATTCTCAATCAATCCATTCAGGGGAACAACATATTCAAAAATGGCACAAATCAGACAAGGGGTTCAAAAGTTAGTAAAAAGTCCTTTGTGACTAAATGAAGCATGGCTTTCTGGCCCAAACCAGTTTCAGAGTCTTCTATCCTGGAGATAAGTAATTCAATTATCTCCCAGGATAGACACAAGACTCCATTAAGCACATGGTTGCAAAAAGACACAAAGCACTTTAAAATACATAAAGTCACATTTATACATAAAACACAGACATTTCACATATCCCCAGATAGCTCAGGTCTGAGCGCACATTATTAAGTGAATGGCGCTCGGACCACACAAATACAGTTTAATCACCATGGAGCCAAAGTCTTTACAGTCAGTTTCATACGAATGGGCTCCATGGGATTCCCATCTGGGGTATAACACATTCAAACAAATCTACTGAAACTCAGGCAGAAAAGCACGACTGAAGCTTTTCTGCAGGTAAAAAAGATGTCTTTTAACAGGGGGCCATAGTCCAAAGGCAGCAGGCGAGCAACCAGGCTTCTCCAATGCAATGTGGCGAGATTGGTCTCGTCACAGAGATGCACAGAAGCAATTCATCTTTATGGAGAGCATTTGGCGATTCCACGCAGAGCGTGGGTATGCTGAACGTAGGTGCTGCACACTGTGCAGCACTGACCCAGGAAGTCCTTTAGTGGCCGTCTGAGTGACTGCAACTAGAGGGGTTACAAAGCAGTAATGTTTGCCTCTGATTTATTATCCCCCTGCTTTGCTATATGAATGTTTTCTATATGTACCAACTTTTAAGTTGATAATCTGCATTGCGCTCAGTGGTGGAGCTAAAATAGATAGGGCCATGGTCCAAGAATTTTTTTGAGCCCCCTTATCGCAAGGATGGAAAGAAATGTAGATCCCATCATCGTAGAACTCCCAGTTCGGGATCTACCATTTGCCCATCCTTGCAGGGTTGTACTAGCACTGAGCAGTGTTTATATGTAAGCATATTTTTGAATGCAATATGTGTGTGAATGTTGGGGTGTATTTCTGTGTAATGTGTTGTTATGTACTATTCCCTTTTGAAAGCTGTGGTTTACTCATGTATAGTATTTGCTTTTGAATGTAGGGGTGTGCCTGTATGTAGTGTTGATGTTTGAATGCAGGGGTATATTTGTGTGAAGTGTTGGAGTTTGAATGCTCAAAAAAATACACTGCTCAAAAAAATAAAGGGAACACAAAAATAACACATCCTAGATCTGAATAAATTAAATATTCTTCTGAAATACTTTGTTCTTTACAATCTGCTGACAACAAAATCACACAAAAAATAAAAAATGGAAATCAAATTTTTCAACCCATGGAGGTCTGGATTTGGAGTCACACTCAAAATTAAAGTGGAAAAACACACTACAGACGGATCCAACTTTGATGTAATGTCCTTAAAACAAGTCAAAATGAGGCTCAGTAGTGTGTGTGGCCTCCACGTGCCTGTATAACCTCCCTACAATCCCTGTGCATGCTCCTGATGAGGTGGCGGATGGTCTCCTGAGGGATCTCCTCCCAGACCTGGACTAAAGCATATGCCAACTCCTGGACAGTCTGTGGTGCAACGTGACGTTGGTGGATGGAGCGAGACGTGATGTCCCAGAAGTGCTCAATTGGATTCAGGTCTGGGGAACGGGCGGGCCAGTCCATAGCATCAATGCCTTTGTCTTGCAGGAACTGCTGACACACTCCAGCCACATGAGGTCTAGCATTGTCTTGCATTAGGAGGAACGAAGAGCCAACCGCACCAGCATATGGTCTCACAAAGGGGTCCGAGGATCTCATCTCGGTACCTAATGGCAGTCAGGCTACCTCTGGCGAGCACATGGAAGGCTGTGCGGCCCCCCAAAGAAATGCCACCCACACCATTACTGACCCACTGTGAAACCGGTCATGCTGGAGGATGTTGCAGGCAGCAGAACGTTCTCCATGGCGTCTCCAAACTCTGTCACGTCTGTCACATGTGCTCAGCGTGAACCTGCTTTCATCTGTGAAGAGCACAGGGCGCCAGTGGCAAATTTGTCAATCTTGGTCTTCTCTGGCAAATGCCAAACGTCCTGTTTATTGTTGGGCTGTAAGCACAACCCCCACCTGTGGACGTCGAGCCCTCATATCAACCTCATGGAGTCTGTTTCTGACCGTTTGAGCAGACACATGCACATTTGTGGCCTGCTGGAGGTCATTTTGCAGGGCTCTGGCAGTGCTCCTCCTGTTCCTCCTTGCACAAAGGCGGAGGTATCGGTCCTGCTGCTGGGTTGTTGCCCTCCTACGGCCTCCTCCACGTCTCCTGATGTACTGGCCTGTCTCCTGGTAGCGCCTCCATGCTCTGGACACTACGCTGACAGACACAGCAAACCTTCTTGCCACAGCTCGCATTGATGTGCCATCCTGGATAAGCTACACTACCTGAGCCACTTGTGTGGGTTGTAGACTCCGTCTCATGCTACCACTAGAGTGAAAGCACGGCCAGCATTTAAAAGTGACCAAAACATTAGCCAGAAAGCATAGGAACTGAGAAGTGGTCTGTGGTCACCACCTGCAGAACCACTCCTTTATTGGGAGTGTCTTGCCAATTGCCTATAATTTCCACCTGTTGTCTATCCCATTTGCACAACAGCATGTAAAATTGATGGTCACTCAGTGTTGCTTCCTAAGTGGACAGTTTGATTTTACAGAAGTGTGATTGACTTGTGTTGTTTAAGTGTTCCCTTTAGTTTTTTGAGCAGTGTGTATATATATATATGTATATATATATATATATATATATATATATATATATATATATATATATATATATATATATAAAAAATACAAAAAGCTTCTGCACTCATGCTCCAGTGTTAATGGCCGGGTGCCAACCAGAATCCGCTTCAATATCCAAATAATCCAAGGGTATGGCTGCACTCACGTTTTAAAAGTCCAAAGTTTAATAAAAAAACAATTAAAACATCAAGTGATCAACGTTTCAGTCGCACAAGACTTTCATCAGGATCATAAGCTTACAATTTTCCCAGAATACCTGTATTTTATACCTTACCTAAGGTACATAAAAACTTAGAAAATCCTCCAGGTAGGCCGATTGTGTCCGGCATTGGATCTGTTTCAGCCAATCTTTCTAAATATGTTGATATTTGGCTACAAGATTTAGTTAAAAATATGCCATCATATCTCAAGGACACTACAGACGTAATAAAAATTATAAAAAACATAAAATGGGAAAATGGTTACTTTTTGGTAACCTCGGATGTAACGGCACTTTACACTTCCATTTCTCATGACAAGGGATGTAAAGTAATTCAGGAAATTTTGGAAAACTCAGGTAATTTTACTAAGGAACATGTTTTATTTTTAACTGATAGCATTAAATGGATTTTAGAAAATAATTATTTTAATTTTAACTCTAGATTCTATCTACAACTACAAGGTACTGCTATGGGGACCAGGTTCGCCCCCAGTTACGCTAATTTGTTTATGTCGAGCTGGGAAACAGAAGTTATTTATACCAGCCAACACTGGGGGACGAACCTGGTCTCCTACCATAGATATATAGATGATATATTTTTTATCTGGAGAGGCACACAACTGGATTTAGAGCTTTTTTTAGAGAATATTAATGTAAATGACTGGGGTTTAAATTTTAGTAGTCTCTTTAATAACCATAGTATTAATTTTTTAGATTTAGAAATTTATGAGGAAACAGGCATTTTAAAAACTAAAACATTTTTTAAAAAAGTAGATGCAAATAGTTATGTATTGTATAACAGTGGGCACTATACTCCATGGCTAAATAATATCCCAAAAGGTCAACTACAAAGAATAAGAAGGAACTGCACTGAACAACATGTCTTTGAGGAGCAAGCAAAGATAGTGATAGACAAATTTTCCCAAAAATTATATCCCACTAATATCTTAGAAAAAGCTTATGATGAAATTAAAAAATATCATCAAAACGAATTAGTCTTCAAACAAAGTAACCATAGGGACAAACAAAATAAATTTGAGAAGGTACCTTTGGTTTTAGACTTTAATCAAGATTCGAATAAAGTTAAATCTATTATTAAGAAACACTGGCACCTTTTAAAGAAAGACAGGGAATTATCGACAATTATCCCAGATATACCTTTTATTACCTTTAGGGGTGCACCTAGTCTAAAACAGATTTTAACCTTTAACCATCCAAGAAAGGAGATGCCTGAAACTTTTTTAAATTTAAATGTAAATAAAAAAGGTTTTTATTCATGTGGAAAATGTGCAGGTTGTAAGTGTAGCAAGAATAATACCTTGAAAGGGATAAGTAAGTTTAAGACAAAATATGCAAAAGAAGAATATACTATTAAGGATTTTATAACTTGTTTTACTAAAAATATTATATATCTTTTAATATGCCCATGTGGGCTGCAATATGAGGACTATTCGCCCCCTACATAAAAGAATTTATGAACACGTTAATAATATCTGTAAAGGTTTAGACCATCATAGTGTATCTGCCCATTTTAAGAAGTACCACAATAGCGATCCTAGTGGCCTTACATTTTTAGGGATTCAATTAGTTAAAAAATCATGGCGAGGAGGAAATTCTATCCAACATTTGGGAAAAGAAGAGATGAAATGGGTTCATACATTAAATACTCTTGAACCTAAGGGCCTCAATATTGAATTCGATTTGTACAACTTTTTTTAATGACCTTTTTTTTCTCTTGTGCCTGTCTTTTAGATTTTTAAAAATTTTTTTTTTAAAGATTATTAACTTACTTCCTTTTTCTTCCCCTTTATAGAAGGCTTCCTTTGGTTTTTTATTTTGTTTTTTTACCTAGGTTTTTTATGTAAATTTTATATATATAAATATATATGTGATTTATATGTGTATGTATATCCCTTTTTTTCCATATATATATATATATATATATATATATATATATATATATATATATATATATATATATATATATATATATATATATATATATATATATGTATATATATATATATATATATGTATATATATGACCCTGTGTGTATGTATATATATGCATATACATATTCTTCCTCTTGTGGAATTATATTAGATGCTAACTAGAAGTATCTATGTGCTATTATTATTATTACTATTATCTACTGCTGTTCTATGAGTCATTTGGATGAGGTTTTTTTAATTAGAAGATTAGCCTTATGCTATACTTGTTTTTCTTGTTTTTCTTGTTGTTTTTATGTGTCATGGACTTTCTAAATATAGACATTTACAAGATCTACCCCTAATTAGTTTATGGGGAGTTTCTATAATGATTGATACAAACCACGCCCATGTATGGGCTTTAAAAGGCAGGACTAGCTACATCAGGATGTGATCTGAGGAAGCCGATTGGGCGAAACGCGTCATCACGTCGATTACGTCATCACGCCATCACGTGACCGGACGAAACTCCGAGTTCCAGGAAGTGAAGTCTGTAATACCGAAAGTCACCAGGGACTGGTAGATATACATTACACAGTACTGGCAAAAGGTTATTTGGCTGCTATATGGAAACGGAGAGTGTGGATTCTACTTATTTTCAATAAAGCTGTTTTTAATTTGGGAAGCTGGTGTCCTGCCTATTTACACCAACATTGAAGTCCTGGTTTTTGGATTCAAAGCTGGATCAGTTTGAGCAGGCTTTTACTGCTCTTCACTTGTGAGTGATATTCCTAATTCTACTTGCTGGTCTTTATATTTATGTAAACAATATTATACTATGTTTCTCCATTTTTTATCTCTTTTTACATATGTTCTTATGTGATTTGGAGAATTTAAGGAGACATATATTTCCCTTGTAAGTTATTTGTCTTGGATATTGATTTTTACACTATCACATTTGCATTTTGCACTTATGCCACATTGAATGTGATTGTATACACACTCTGTGTTTTTGCACAAAATATTTGCACATATTATTGCACTATTTGCACTTTTTAACATTTAAAGATACAGCGCACCTATTTTTATTTTTTGGATTTTATGTATAGTGTTTTATGAGCTTGTACACTTTTAGGTGCTGCTACACTTTTATTATCTTCATATTTTATATTAGCACTTTCAGCGCCTTTATTGCTTGTTTGTTTTTTTAGTTTTCATAAGCTTACAATGACAAAACATCCATTTTATAAATAATTGTTTTTTTATTAAACTTTGAACTTTTAAAACGTGAGTGCAGCCATACCCTTGGATTATTTATATATATATATATATATATATATATATATATATATATATATAATCTATCTATATCGTGACAGAG